ACCTCTGAATGTGATAGAGGGATATAATATTCGAACACCTACACAGTGAAGACCATAAATAATATTTATACACACTTCAAACTTGATTAACTTTTTTAATATAAGACTTCATGAATTTATTTTTTTGGGGATGTTAGAAAGATTAATTTATTGCGTGATGTAATCGTTAAGTTGTTTTTGCAAATTGCACTAACGAGCGACAATAGAAACATTAATATTTTACTAACGATAATTGTGTGCAAATTAACATGTATCCTTGTTTTTGCTGCTTTCAGGTGCTAACAAAGCAAAATCGGCGCGAACACCCACTAAACAACTCTAACCACCGAGTGTACGCACTATGACAGCTTTGAGAATCCCTCCGCATCGTCTTAAATCGTAAAAGGAGCATTTAAATATTGTGTTGCGTTGAACGGTACTTTGTGCTCATTGGAATCAACGCATGTACATCTAGTTCATTGAACTCATCGTGGGTGTGGGTACCGGACACCTGGTCGGTGAAAATAATATACGAAGGATTAATTTAGATATCACTCCATCTCTGAAGAGGAAAAACAACGTGGTTGTACGCGAGAAAGGGTGAGCACGTAACTATGGAGAATTCCATTTACTCAGCGTCCCAATTTCTCTTCTGGAAGTCATTGCGGTTGTAATGAAAATTAAAAGTGAACCAGTTTACTGAACCCAATTACACACGGGCCGGTCCCAAGTCCTTCATCGAAGCTACCCACCTTTAAATCAAATTATCTTCTTTTCATTTATTATCAAAGTATGTTTGTCCAACGTTCGTCGGCTTGAAATTTTAGCCATTCATTTTAAATGAGGAGGTCACCGAATGAAGCGGTTCAAACAAAATTCAACGAGATGTCTTAAACGCAGCTATAGAGATATTTATAATTGTGAAATGTAGATAGAATAAATCCATATATGTATGTATATACGCAATTCTTTTATTGTTATTTTCAAAGAACTTTTAATAACAATTCTAAAGTATACATCAAAGTAACAGCTCTTGTATATATTTTTGTATACAAAATTGCACAAACTTCGATGCTTATTGATATACATTGAAAATAGTGGAGCTCAGCGATGTAGTGCGTAGATTACTAGCACTCGACTCCGAAAGAAAAATTCAGTGTGAAGGGTTGTTGTGAAAACGGTTTGATGGAAACTCAATTTGCCTGGCAAACTCGACGGGTGTAAAAAAAGATATGCGTAGAAAAGTACGGTTTTAAATCTTGGCCCTCGTAAATCGTTGACTATTCACCACAAGTGCGAGTGTATCCAATCGGAAAGCTGTTGCCAGGTGTAGAGAACGGAAAGGCAAGAAAATTCGCTGACACTACGCGAGTATATTAAATCGATCGATTTCAAATACATAGAGATAACTGGCGCCAATGTGCCGCGGGGAACGTCCGGTGAAAAATTAAATTCACGGTTTTAACATCATACTTTATGGAGTCACATTACTTTCCAGCCTAGGAAATAACGGGAGAATTAAATAACGCAGTGAAACGAGTTTCTAATTGCTTACGTAATGAAACCTATACCGGCGGAAAACGTATTAAATCATGCTTTCGCTTATCCTGGTCAAACACATAAAAATTATATTTCGTAGCTGTATTTGTTTTCCTGTCAAAACATAATCTACGGAAACCTCGAAAGCTGCAGTAACAAATTTCAAGTACCACTCCATTACAAGTCATTTGGTTAATTCGAAACCGTAAAAACGTCACATTCCTCTTTGGACGTTTCCCTTTATCGCTATGACTGTGTTCGACACAGGTTGAAATTTCACGCAGACCTTGTGTGGCTTGAAATATGGAAACAAAACGGGGAAACAGGAGGCGGAACAATATGGTCAATAAATTGATTACAGGGCTCGAAGAAGCCTGCGACTACGGCGACAGGAGATCGCGGGGCCCTCCCTCGAGAAAAGGGGCTCCGCACGAGAAGGGGCACGTAAACGTACCCCTGGACCCGTCGTGGTGTTGTCCGCCGGGGGTGGCGGTGGCGGCGGGGGAGGAGGTGGGTGCAGACGCCGTGACTTGGAACGACGCGGAGGTGGCGGACGGGGTGCACCCTGCCTTGCCACCATCAGCTCCTCTGTCGCGGGGAGCGCGGGGGGTTGTGGCCCTGTGGTGGGGCTTCCCTCCTATAAAAAGCGTCAAGGTATCTTCTTCAACCCCCCGAGAAAAAGAAAGATAAACTGTGTCTGCCTCTTCATAAATGTTTTATTCGAACAATAATCTACATTCCCATGCAAGTCATTTTCATGCTTTAACAAAGATTCGATAGTTGCTATAGCGCTTTTGCAGTTTACATAAATATGTAGATTTCATATACAGGGTGAATCATCTAAATTTATCATCTCGAATAACTTCTAAATTATGCGTTGTAAAATATATGAATTCGATAGGTTTGTGTCCCTGATTTTTCTTCACCTCTGTAATATTCATATTATTAAATATCAACAGAATCTCATTTAATCATGATCAGAGCGGTCTAGATTAAACTTTCATCTTTCCAATGACTTGCCGAACTCGAAAATCTTGTATAAAAATAGAAGTCAATTTTGGTAAACCAATACTTCGCATATTTTTGCTACGGTTATAGGTAGAACAGTAAAAAATGTGAGAAATCAGCTGACAATTATCAGAAACGTCACTTGAATACCCCAGCCCCTTAAATTGTATGTTCAGGAAGAAAAACACTTGTGAGATCAGATCATATGAAGGCAACATAAATTAGATTAT